GATGAAATGTCACAACTTATGTTTAAGTTTGTTAAGCAACAGAAGGAATCAGACGAACAGAGGCATAGAGAGATGCTAGCATTTATGGATAAGCTGTCTAGATCTGCAACACAGATGCCAATACTATCGTCTCCAAATGTCTCTTCGCAGATGAAGTCTTTATCTCTCTCAGATGCTGATGGTAGATATTACTACAAGGGTGATGAAATCAAAACAAGCCAAGCAATTATAGGATGTTTTCTACTGCACCTGGATCTAATAGTATCTAGAAATCTTCCTGTATCAGGGGATACATCCGATACTACAGTGATGGAGCTCAAAGACTGGTCTAGTGCAGTCACAATTCTGAGAGAAGCTGAAAGCAACAACACTCCAAGTATAGGTGTGCTATCATTGCCAAAGAAGACTTCCGAAGAGGCTATTCAGACTCTTGACATTATTGCAAGTCCCATATCAGGTAGAACTGTAGTGTGCAAGAATGAACATATACAATCATTAATACTTAATTGTCCTACTATATCAAACTGCGTGGAGGAGATAAGACAAAGATCACTGCTGTGTCCTGGAGTTATTAGTAGTTCAAGGTTAAGGAATTTGTCTGCGTTGGATTTTCCATACATAACGAGAGAAGGAGTTTTAAATATTGTGAACACATCACCTAAGCCTAAAGGCAGTAGTATTCTTCATGAGAAGGTGAAACAAATGACTGCTCATCAGAAAAAGATATACGCACAATTAATTTTAGCGAACGGACAAAAGTCTATAGTAGCAGCTACTACAGCACTCGAATGCAAAACAGATTTCAAGAAGTGGAAAGACAGTGTCAGGTAGTACTACACTGTTAGCCAACTATGTTCTTTAAAACCCACTGCATAATAGGATGTGGCATGTCAATTATACCCCCCTCCATTCCTAGAGCGTTAGCAATAGACCTCTGCTCAGGGTTGGAGCGCGTCTCTCTGATAATAGTTACAACTTCTTTGGATGTAGGGGTCATAGCACGTCTAGTTCTAATAGACTCCTGTAGGAATTCGATAATAGCAGGCTCGATATTGTACTCCTCATTCGCAGGATCAACAAAGTCAGCTATGTATGACAGATCTTGTATCTCGTTCTCATCGATATTTGTGTTGAAATCACTACTGGGACCAGCCGCTTCAGGTTCCTCTGGGATAGTATCGTCATCATCATCCGCAAACCCAATGTTAGTAGTTCGTCGAGTAGCGCTACTTTGCCCTGCTATAGATCCAGCATATCGAGGATTGTTAGGTGTTCGAGGAACGTTAGATGTACGAGGAGTACTAACACTAGAGTTGGATTCTGCAGTGCTGCCCTGAGTGGATTGTTCCTGAGGAGTGTCATCATCCGCAAACCCGATAGACTGTCTCTTACTTGGTGTTTGAACTGATGCCTTGGAAGAGCTACCTCTACTGTACTGATTTCTATTATAATCAGTTCGCCTGTTAAAGTATGCAGGCTTTGATGTAGATGGAGGTTCATTCAACTGAGCAAACAATGTCTTAACTTTCAGTGCAGATAAAGCTAGAACGAATTCCTTCATCTCCTGAGCTGCACGTTCGAAGAGTTCCTCGTTACGTTCGACAGTCTTTCCGGTGTTTGCTTTGAAATACGATGATATAGCTTTGAAGCTTTCGCCAGTACTCGCACTTCTGTTAATCAACTTACGATAGTCTGGATCCTCAGTTGCCATCTTGAAATAGTCTTCCTCAGTAAGAAGATTGTTACAGTCGGATGTACTCTTTATCAATCCAGCAAGCAATCTAGTGAGCGACTTTGCACCTATAGTAAAGCTGGGCGACATTGTGTCGCCAAATTTATGCTTAAATCCAGCTGGATTTTTACACTCATGAATAGTAACCCTGCTCTTGGTCTCAATGATGCTTGAACGTATTCTACTGGCACTATGCCGAGCAGGATTTCCCAGTGCGTAAATATGTATCTTTTTATTCGATAACCTTAGGGATATAGATACGATATCCCTTATGAACTCCTCCATTGCAACTCGTTCTCTCTCGGACATATTGTCCATGAAACTGTATGAAGTACATACATTCAACAATAGTATACCTTTGTGCAAATACTTCCAACTGTCTCTGAACCATTCCTTGCATGTCTCATAGCTCAGATCAGTTCCATTACTTATATCCAGTGCTAGAAAGTGAACCATGGGCGTAGTCTTCATATTGAGATTAGCATCGTACGACATTGCAGAACCAGCATATGGAAATATATCCGTTGCATAGGGTCTCTCTGCAAGAATTACATGTTCAATAGGGAGCATATATGGTATCGATAGTATGTATCTAGCGAGTGGTAATGATGCAAACTGTTTCTTTTCAAGTATGTTGATTTTAATTACTAGCTCCTTGCATCTATCTCTTAAAATTTTCAACGTTTCATCCATTTTTAGAGTACGGATAGCAGCATCGCTGCTCCCTACTCCGATTCATCAAAGAAAGACGTCAGGAGCTCTGCTTCAAACGACAGGCTAGCGTTGCTCTCGCATGGACACAGCATTTCGTGAACTTTTTTCATATATGCACAGCAATAGCATAAATTGTCTTTGGATGCGGCAGACATGACATTGGAGCTTGTAGCGTTTATCTGGGACTCCAATACGTTGAACTTCTGTGTTTCCATCTGTCCTCTTCCTACATTGAGCCTTAGAATACTGTCTTTAGATGGAGTTTCATATAACATAGGCATCACTTCCGAGTCATAACTACCCGCAAGCTGTATAGATCTCGATGGTTTCGAGACCCACATGGAACCTTTGTTATTATGCATGTACGTAGCATACATGTCTGAATCTTGACACAGATAAAACGTCATTGATCGGTCATTGTCAACAAGATTGGTAACCAGCACAACCATATCACTCTCGGTCATGCTACTTGTCAGTCCAGTGTCATGTGATGTTACTCTGAAAATTTTCTTAGATCTGTCCATGCATACACTGATAGTGGTGCCAGGACAGACTTGTGCTCTGATAGCTGATACACTATCTAAAAATGCTGACAAGTCGTTATCCCATGATGTAAAGAATATCAGATTGTTCATCCTTACATAAGTTCCTATGATCGCTAATACAGATGCTCTTAATGCTATATTTGAATCTATGCAAAATTTCGGACTGTGCATAACACCGCAGAAGCTATGATTTGTCACAAGTGGTAACTCTAAGTTCTCTATATATGCATCTATTGCAGCATATTGATGAGTGCTAGGACCGACACTACATTGATCATATATATTGATGCCGAGACTCTTGTACAGTCTTGTAACTCCGCAATCGTGACTATTCTTCATCGTTTATTTAATTGAGTGAACCACTATACTGAGAGCCTTACGATGGTGATATCGAGATCTCGATCCATATGCAACGCCTAGAACCATAGACACCGTAAGTGTAGCAGTCGTAACTGCGCTGCATCTTAAGAGTCTATTAAAATCTCTAGTGAATGTGTTCCCTTTCCACTCTGAGTCAGGTATTTCGCAACTGGTATATAGTTCAGACATTCTTACTCTACATCCATTAAATGCTAGAGCGTCATGTACTGTTGGAACTATACTGATACCGATCTCAGCTAGTGAATCCATTATATTGTATATAACAGATGTTGGCACAAGAGGAACACACCTTACTCCATTAACGTCAGCAATAACAAAGTTAGCCAAGCTACCAGTAGACGATGGTTGTACTAGATAACAGTTCTTAATATCAAAGCATGGACTCTTTTTACCACTCTTACAGATGTTGACCAACTGATCACTACGGTTTCTAGTCACATGTGTTGAGAAGTAGTCATAGTATGGCCCTAGTGATACTGTAGATACAGGTATCAGTTCAACTGCATCAATCGCTCGAGAGCTTAACACTATTGGGGACAAAGCCGAATGATTTTTAGCTGAATTCTTTTCAGACTTAGCCCATTCCATATTCTCTTCATAGAACATCACGAAATGACTCGGTGCATCACTGACACCGCTATCAGGACTTGGAGGTGGATATGGAGGATCTGTGCCCACTAACTTCCAGTCGCGAGTAAACAAACCCCCGCCAATCATGTCGTCTGCTTCCTCATCGTACGTAGAGACGGACATAACAGTATCTGGATCCCTATCCATTCTATATGTGATATTGTATAACGGTAAGACCCAGGCTTATGTCTGCTGTCAGACACACGTGACATATGCAACGAAGTTGCTGCAGTTACTCAACGCTGAACAAAATGGCCTCTTATAACTCTCTCAAGAACTTCTCTCTGAGTGTTGACTTCACGAAACTTGAAGCAGTATCTCTTAAAGATCATTTGACTCTCAGAAATGCATGTATCGACTACAGAGATGCAAAGGGTTCATGCTGGGTTCCCAGTGACATACCTGAGGCTAGTGCTGCAGTGTCGGCAGAACAGATACCATGCTTAAATAGATTCAGAAACATCATCGGGCATATGGAAAGCTCAGAGATAATATGCTTCAAACTTGAAAGAGCTAACAATTTGGTTGACCTGATTGACATTCTAGATGTGAGGCTGACTACAGCATTCAACACTGGAAGACTGTGGGCATTACCTGGAACTGTAAAGTATAAGCTAAGCGGTGATGCTGACCAGCAATGGTCTGTAACTTCAGGGATTGTCCCTAAACACCACTATGACATCTTAAACAAGCTGAGACGCTCTCCAGGTCCTCCTCTATCTGCTAGTATTGCACATGCCGCAATGGAAACAGATCACTATATAAACGATGTCTCATACGATAAGATATTTTTGTATCCTCACAATGCAACTATATCGATAGGACTTATAGGATCTCTCCATGATAACGAATGCATAGACATGAGCCCAGGAGAGGAGGGTAAAGTTGCTAATATGGAGAACAGAGGCTATAAGATGGACGAGTATATAGGGTATATATGCGCAGGACACACATCACACTCGACTGAAGCAGGAAGAGTGAGACGAGTCACATGTAGTACAAGAGTACGGGTGCTATCAAGAGATACTATAGGCAAGCTTCATGAAGTATCGAACCATGTTATTGAAGACTCTAGAGCCACTGTCGTTAGATCACCAAGCACGTGGACCGTGTTCTGTATGGGGATATACTGTGATATGACATACAAAGAGGTAATACTACTGTGCTCTCATCATAGACTATTATCTCTTATGGGACCAACATTGTTCAGCCTTCATGTAGATAATGACGAGAGATTTATTATTATATCTGTAAGTTGCGGTACTCTGATTAAACAATGCAGCAATGGTTACTGGGCTGACAATGTTGAGACACATAAATCCTCCAGAGTTAGATGCGGCATTAAACCTAAGATTGATGTTAAAGGGCAGGACCAGGTTCGGGCATGCTTCTCTGCATACTTCAGTCTCATACCGTACATGAACGAAAACAGAGCTCCACGTCCGCTTATCGCATCAGTTCAGACGCCTCAGGCTACCTGTCTTCCATGGTGCCCTGGAAACGCTGCGGTATCTCCATGCTATACATTTAATCCTGTGGTAACAACGCCTTTTTATAGTGCTGTGCTTCAAGACATAAACGATGGAAACGCTAGTATATCTTCACATCTGCCAGGTGAGAATGTTCAGTGTCTATTTCTGAATATGGAATATACATACGAGGATGCAATTATAGTATCAAAAAGATATGTAGACAACGGAGGTTTCAGTACAGTGTCATTATGCTCATACAATATATCTCGGAACGAAACTATACTTCCTGTAGGATCTACGATGTGCGGCATAGTATGCAAATGGTGGAAGTCTCCATGTCAGAAAGGATGTAGTCATGATCCTGATGAATTGATTAAAGGTCGTAGATATGCAGTTGGATATGTTCCTACTGGAGTAGTTCATAGCATAACCGAGCTTAATAACGGCGATGTTAACGTTAGAGTTAGAAGTCACCAACAGTTACAAGATGGTGATAAGTTATCTATGGGACATGGGCAAAAAGGTATTGCTGTTCTTACCAACTATGAAGACATGCCTATAGCTCACCACTCCGAATATGGACAGGTGGTACCAGACATTGTGATGGGCATGTCGTCAGTTGTCACAAGACAAACCAACGGCTTGATATATGAAGCTGCTAAATCACTATCTTTGTTCGCAAATAACGAATCTCTACCATATGTTGTCAGACCAGGAGAAAGACCTGATATAGACGATGAGTTTTTGGTTACTTCTGGCGCTACTGGGAAGTACTATAGAACATTGGTATATGATAATCAGGGTAAGGCTAAGTTCACACCTACGAAGGCGTCTCTTGGCATAGTCAGAGTATTCAATCAGACTCAGATGTCAAGAGAGAGACATCAGATATCACATATCAAGGTGGGTAAAAATTCGCTACGTACTCCTGACGGAAGAGCTAGAGGCGGGGGAGTTGCGTGGGGAGAAATGGAAGTGCAGTCTGCATCTTCTGCAGGCTTGCAATGTTGTGACGATGAGATTGCAGCTCGTGGTGATTCAATTGTAGGAAAATTTTGCACAAAGTGCCAGCGCCTAGGGCTGCTGTGCACATGCACTACAGAAGATAACCATATACTAGTCAAAGCTGCCTATGATCTTATTATAGCTGACTGTGTTAGTGCAGTAGTATTCAATGGGTCTTTTCAATATCAGGTGGCGCCGGAGCTTTGACTCGGATGTTATAAGACGTCTTGATATATCCGACGTTTTGAAGAATCGATCATACGACAATAGATCGGGTGACAATCTCATTATTCATATTGGTGAAATAAGTCCGTTTAGCATGCATATTGAAAATCTTGCAGCC